GTGATCTCGCCCTGTTCTACAGAGTGAGTGAGTGGAGTTTGTGTGATCTCCCCCCTGTTCCACAGAGCGAGTGGAGTTTGTAGGATTCCCCCCCCCTGTTCTACAGAGCGAGTGGAGTTTGTGTGATCTCCCCCCTGTTCTACAGAGCGAGTGGAGTTTGTAGGATCTCCCCCCTGTTCTACAGAGGGAGTGGAGTTTGTAGGATTCCCCCCCTGTTCTACAGAGCGAGTGGAGTTTGTGTGATCTGCCCCCTGTTCTACAGAGTGAGTGGAGTTTGTATGATCTCCCCCTGTTCTACAGAGTTAGTGGAGTTTGTAGGATCTCCCCCCTCTTCTACAGAGTGAGTGGAGTTTGTAGGATCTCCCCCCTGTTCTACAGAGTGAGCGGAGTTTGTATGATCTCCCCCCTGTTCTACAGAGTGAGTGGAGTTTGTAGGATCTCCCCCCTGTTCTACAGAGTGAGTGGAGTTTGTGTGATCTGCCCCTGTTCTACAGAGTGAGTGGAGTTTGTAGGATCTCCCCCCTGTTCTACAGAGCGAGTGGAATTTGTAGGATCTCCCCCCTGTTCTACAGAGTGAGTGGAGTTTGTAGGATCTCCCCCCTGTTCTATAGAGTGAGTGGAGTTTGTGTGATCTGCCCCTGTTCTACAGAGTGAGTGGAGTTTGTATGATCTCCCCCCTGTTCTACAGAGTGAGTGGAGTTTGTGTGATCTGCCCCTGTTCTACAGAGTGAGTGGAGTTTTTAGGATCTCCCCCCTGTTCTACAGAGTGAGTGGAGTTTGTATGATCTCCCCCTGTTCTACAGAGTTAGTGGAGTTTGTAGGATCTCCCCCCTGTTCTACAGAGTGAGTGGAGTTTGTAGGATCTCCCCCCTGTTCTACAGAGTGAGCGGAGTTTGTATGATCTCCCCCCTGTTCTACAGAGTGAGTGGAGTTTGTGTGATCTCGCCCTGTTCTACAGAGTGAGTGAGTGGAGTTTGTGTGATCTCCCCCCTGTTCCACAGAGCGAGTGGAGTTTGTAGGATTCCCCCCCCCTGTTCTACAGAGCGAGTGGAGTTTGTGTGATCTCCCCCCTGTTCTACAGAGCGAGTGGAGTTTGTAGGATCTCCCCCCTGTTCTACAGAGGGAGTGGAGTTTGTAGGATTCCCCCCCTGTTCTACAGAGCGAGTGGAGTTTGTGTGATCTGCCCCCTGTTCTACAGAGTGAGTGGAGTTTGTATGATCTCCCCCTGTTCTACAGAGTTAGTGGAGTTTGTAGGATCTCCCCCCTCTTCTACAGAGTGAGTGGAGTTTGTAGGATCTCCCCCCTGTTCTACAGAGTGAGCGGAGTTTGTATGATCTCCCCCCTGTTCTACAGAGTGAGTGGAGTTTGTGTGATCTTGCCCTGTTCTACAGAGTGAGTGAGTGGAGTTTGTGTGATCTCCCCCCTGTTCCACAGAGCGAGTGGAGTTTGTAGGATTCCCCCCCCTGTTCTACAGAGCGAGTGGAGTTTGTGTGATCTCCCCCCTGTTCTACAGAGTGAGTGGAGTTTGTAGGATCTCCCCCGTGTTCTACAGAGTGAGTGGAGTTTGTACGATCTCCCCCCTGTTCTACAGAGTGAGTGGAGTTTGTATGATCTCCCCCTGTTCTACAGAGTTAGTGGAGTTTGTAGGATCTCCCCCCTGTTCTACAGAGTGAGTGGAGTTTGTAGGATCTCCCCCCTGTTCTACAGAGTGAGCGGAGTTTGTATGATCTCCCCCCTGTTCTACAGAGTGAGTGGAGTTTGTGTGATCTCGCCCTGTTCTACAGAGTGAGTGAGTGGAGTTTGTGTGATCTCCCCCCTGTTCTACAGAGTGAGTGGAGTTTGTATGATCTCCCCCTGTTCTACAGAGTGAGTGGAGTTTGTAGGATCTCCCCCCTGTTCTACAGAGTGAGTGGAGTTTGTATGATCTCCCCCCTGTTCTACAGAGTGAGTGGAGTTTGTATGATCTCCCCCCTGTTCTACAGAGTGAGTGGAGTTTGTGTGATCTCGCCCTGTTCTACAGAGTGAGTGAGTGGAGTTTGTGTGATCTCGCCCTGTTCTACAGAGTGAGTGAGTGGAGTTTCTATGATCTCCCCCTGTTCTACAGAGTGAGTGAGTGGAGTTTCTATGATCTCCGCCTGTTCTACAGAGTGAGTGGAGTTTGTATCATCTCCCCCTGTTCTACAGAGTGAGTGGAGTTTGTATGATCTGCCCCTGTTCTACAGAGTGAGTGGAGTTTGTATGATCTGCCCCTGTTCTACAGAGTGAGTGAGTGGAGTTTATATGATCTCCCCCTGTTCTACAGAGTGAGTGGTGTTTGTATGATCTCCCCCTGTTCTACAGAGGGAGTGGAATTTGTATGATCTCCGCCTGTTCTACAGAGGCAGTGGAGTTTGTATGATCTCCCCCTGCTGTACAGAGTTAGAGTGAGTGAGTGGAGTTTGTATAATCTTCCCCTGTTCTACAGAGTGAGTGGAGTTTGTGTGATCTCCCCCTGTTCTACAGAGTGAGTGGAGTTAGTATGATCTCCCCCTGTTCTGCATACATATAACCCCCCCCCCGCACCAGCCTCCGATAACAGCCCACGTGACCCCTACCTGGCCCCCCACTCTCGCGGGCCCCGCCGGACCCCGGTGCCCTGAATTCCCCCCCCCCCTCCCCGCGCCCACCCCAAGTGGTTCCAGGTGTGGCGTCACGAGCGGCCCTCGTAGGCATGGCGACCCCCGCATGTCCCCCTCCTTTTAAGGGGGCGACACGGGCAGGAGGGCACCCAGAGCAGAGAGAGGGCATCGCGGCAGAGAGAAGGGACCCACAGGGAGGAAGGGGACCCACAGGAGAGAGGGGACATCGCGGCAGAGAGAGGGGACCCACGTGGAAGAAGGGGACCCACAGGAGAGAGGGACATCGCAGTACAGAGGGGACCCACGTGGAGGAAGGGGACCCACAGCACAGAGGGGACATCGCGGCAGAGAGGGGACCCACTTGGAGGAAGGGGACCCACAGGAGAGAGGGGACCCACAGCACAAAGAGAGGGGACCCACGTGGAGGAAGGGGACCCACATCACAGAGGGGACATCGCAGCACAGAGAGAGGGGACCCACGTGGAAGAAGGGGACCCACAGGAGAGAGGGGACATCGCAGTACAGAGGGGACCCACGTGGAGGAAGGGGACCCACATCACAGAGGGGACATCGTGGCAGAGAGAGGGGACCCACGTGGAGGAAGGGGACCCACAGCACAGAGGGGACATCGCGGCAGAGAGAGGGGACCCACGTGGAGGAAGGGGACCCACAGGAGAGAGGGGACCCACAGCACAGAGGGGACCCACGTGGAGGAAGGGGACCCACAGGAGAGAGAGGGCATCGCAGCACAGAGAGAGAGGACCCACGTGGAGGAAGGGGACCCACATCACAGAGGGGACCCACGTGGAGGAAGGGGACCCACAGCACAGAGGGGACCCACGTGGAGGAAGGGGACCCACAGGAGAGAGGGGACATCGCAGCACAGAGGGGACCCACAGGGAGGAAGGGGAGCTACGGGGATCCCTGGCAGCGACGAAGCGGTGATTTTTAAGGTGAGATCAGAGTTCACTCTGGGATTCATATAACCCTGGTTACCCCTGGGTTAGGGGTAGAGGCAAGCCTGGGTTAGGGGTTAGGAATAATCCTGGGTTAGGGGTGACCCTGGGTTAAGATTAATTCTGGGTTAGGGGTAGGAATAATCCTGAGTTAGGGGTAATCCTGGGTTAGGGGTGACCCTGGGTTAGGGGTGACCCTGGGTTAGGGGTGACCCTGGGTTAGGATTAATTCTGGGTTAGGGGTAGGGGAAACCCTGGGTCAGGGGTGACCCTGGGTTAAGATTAATTCTGGGTTAGGGGCAGGAATAATCCTGGGTTAGGGGTAATCCTGGGTTAGGGGTGACCCTGGGTTAGGATTAATTCTGGGTTAGGGGTAGGGTTACGCGCGGGTTATAGCGGTAACTGTGGGGTAGGGAAAAGCGTTATCAAACGAAGAGGAAGCTCTGTGTGTTGAGAAGCGGCGATTCTCACTTCTCGTCACCGAGGTTAAACACCGCAGGGGTTAACCACGGGTGCCGGGTGGATGCCCCCTAGGAAGGGGAATTGGGGCCAGGAGGGATGCTTGGGGTGGTGCCGGTGGGAGTCGCTAAACCGGTTACTCGCTTATTAAATCGGTTACTCACTGAATTACCCCGTTAGTCACTTATTAAACCGGTTACTCGCTTATTAAACCAGTTTCTCACTTATTAAACCGGTCACTCGCTTATTAAACCGGTTACTTGCTTATTAAACCGGCTACTCACTTATTAAACCGGTTGCTAACTGATTAAACCGGTTACTCGCTTATTAAACCGGTTATTCGCTTATTAAACTGGTTACTCGCTTATTAAACCGGTTGCTAACTTATTAAACCGGTTACTCACTTATTAAACCGGTTACTCACTTATTAAACCGGTTACCCGCTTATTAAACCGGTTACTCACTTATTAAACCGGTTCCTCACTTATTAAACCGGTTTCTCGCTTATTAAACTGTTTGCTCGCTTATTGAACTGGTTGCTCGCTTATCAAACCGACTGCCGGTTTAGAGAGCCAGGAGCGGATTCCTGTCATGGAAACCGGTTAACCGATTCCGGCGTAGCGCAAGTCACCTGCACGAGAGAGCGAGAGAGGGAATGGGACAAACCGCACGGCGGTAATCCGCTGGGTGATCGTTTGAACCCCCTCGTCGCTTCAGCTGCAGGGTGAAGGCGCGCGCTCACCGCAACCGCATTGCGGAAGAGCAGAGTATTTGGCCTACTCTTCCGCGCCCGGGACCCGAGACGTCTTCGACGTCTTCCGCGGGACAAGATGAACTCGGTTTATCCCCTCTTCACCGCCGTCGCTGGCGTAAGGAGGGCCGCTTAATCGATAACAGTTGGCCTACTCTTCCACGCCCAGGACTCAAGACATCATCGCACTTTGACCCTCACCGCCGCCCTCCCCAGATGGCACCATCACCGCCGCCCCCGATGGTGGTGATGGTGGTGGTGGTGACGGTGGCGGTGATGGTGGCGACGGTGCCGCGGGAGGCGATGTCGCGCCGTGCCGGCAGCGCGGTGGAGCCGAGCATCGATGATCGGCGCTTCATCATCGAGTGCGTGCGCGCGCACAACTTCTTCCGCTCCATGGTCAACCCGCCAGCTCGCAACATGCTCTACATGGTAGCCACCATCACACACCTGTACACACACACACCTGTACACACACACACCTGTACACACATACCTGTACACACATACACATACCGGTACAACATGCTCTACATGGTAGCCACCATCACACACCTGTACACACACATACCTGTACACACATACCTGTACACACATACCGATACAACATGCTCTACATGGTAGCCACCATCACACACCTGTACACACACACACCTGTACACACACACACCTGTACACACATACCTGTACACACATACACATACCGGTACAACATGCTCTACATGGTAGCCACCATCACACACCTGTACACACACATACCTGTACACACACACACCTGTACACACATACCTGTACACACATACCGATACAACATGCTCTACATGGTAGCCACCATCACACACCTGTACACACACACACCTGTACACACACATACCTGTACACACATACCTGTACACACATACACATACCGGTACAACATGCTCTACATGGTAGCCACCATCACACACCTGTACACACACATACCTGTACACACACACACATACCTATACAACATGCTCTACATGGTAGCCACCATCACACACCTGTACACACACATACCTGTACACACACACACCTGTACACACATACCTGTACACACATACCGATACAACATGCTCTACATGGTAGCCACCATCACACACCTGTACACACACACACCTGTACACACACATACCTGTACACACATACCTGTACACACATACCGATACAACATGCTCTACATGGTAGCCACCATCACACACCTGTACACACACACACCTGTACACACACACACCTGTACACACATACCTGTACACACATACACATACCTATACAACATGCTCTACATGGTAGCCACCATCACACACCTGTACACACACATACCTACACGCACACACCTGTACACACATACCTGTACACACATACACATACCTATACAACATGCTCTACATGGTAGCCACCATCACACACCTGTACACACACATACCTGTACACACACACACCTGTACACACATACCTGTACACACATACCGATACAACATGCTCTACATGGTAGCCACCATCACACACCTGTACACACACATACCTACACGCACACACCTGTACACACATACCTGTACACACATACACATACCTATACAACATGCTCTACATGGTAGCCACCATCACACACCTGTACACACACATACCTGTACACACACACACCTGTACACACATACCTGTACACACATACCGATACAACATGCTCTACATGGTAGCCACCATCACACACCTGTACACACACATACCTGTACACACACACACCTGTACACACATACCTGTACACACATACACATACCTATACAACATGCTCTACATGGTAGCCACCATCACACACCTGTACACACACATACCTGTACACACACACACCTGTACACACGTACCTGTACACACATACCGATACAACATGCTCTACATGGTAGCCACCATCACACACCTGTACACACACATACCTGTACACACACACACCTGTACATACACACACCTGTACACACATACCTGTACACACATACCGATACAACATGCTCTACATGGTAGCCACCATCACACACCTGTACACACACACACACCTGTACACACACATACCTGTACACACATACCTGTACACACATACCTGTACACACATACCGATACAACATGCTCTACATGGTAGCCACCATCACACACCTGTACACACACATACCTGTACACACACATACCTGTACACACACACACCTGTACACACATACCTGTACACACATACCTGTACACACATACACATACCTATACAACATGCTCTACATGGTAGCCACCATCACCTACCTGTACACACATACCTGTACACACATGCCTGTACACACATACACATACCGATACAACATGCTCTACATGGTAGCCACTCTCATCTACCTACACACACATACCTGTACACACATACCTGTACACAAGTACACATACCGATACATGCTCGACATGGTAGCCACCATCACCTACCTACACACACACACCTGTACACACATACACATACCTATACAACATGCTCTACATGGTAGCCACCATCACCTACCTGTACACACATACCTGTACACACACACCTGTACACACATACACACACCGATACAACATGCTCTACATGGTAGCCACCATAACCTACCTACACACACATACCTGTACACACACATACCTGTACACACATACCTGTACACACATACCTGTACACACATACACATACCGATACAACATGCTCTACATGGTAGCCACCATCACCTACCTGTACACACATACCTGTACACACATACCTGTACACACATACCTGTACACACATACACATACCGATACAACATGCTCTACATGGTAGCCACCATCACCTACCTGTACACACATACCTGTACACACATACTTGTACAAACATACCGATACAACATGCTCTACATGGTAGCCACCATCACCTACCTACACACACATACCTGTACACACACATACCTGTACACACACATACCTGTACACACACACACCTGTACACACATACCTGTACACACATACCTGTACACACATACACATACCTATACAACATGCTCTACATGGTAGCCACCATCACCTACCTGTACACACATACCTGTACACACATGCCTGTACACACATACACATACCGATACAACATGCTCTACATGGTAGCCACTCTCATCTACCTACACACACATACCTGTACACACATACCTGTACACAAGTACACATACCGATACATGCTCGACATGGTAGCCACCATCACCTACCTACACACACACACCTGTACACACATACACATACCTATACAACATGCTCTACATGGTAGCCACCATCACCTACCTGTACACACATACCTGTACACACACACCTGTACACACATACACACACCGATACAACATGCTCTACATGGTAGCCACCATAACCTACCTACACACACATACCTGTACACACACATACCTGTACACACATACCTGTACACACATACCTGTACACACATACACATACCGATACAACATGCTCTACATGGTAGCCACCATCACCTACCTGTACACACATACCTGTACACACATACCTGTACACACATACCTGTACACACATACACATACCGATACAACATGCTCTACATGGTAGCCACCATCACCTACCTGTACACACATACCTGTACACACATACTTGTACACACATACCGATACAACATGCTTTACATGGTAGCCACCATCACCTACCTACACACACATACCTGTACACACACATACCTGTACACATACCTGTACACACATACACATACCGATACAACATGCTCTACATGGTAGCCACCATCACCTACCTGTACACACATACCTGTACACACACATACCTGTACACACATACACATACCGATACAACATGCTCTACATGGTAGCCACTCTCACCTACCTACACATACCTGTACATACCTGTACACAAATACCTAGACATTCCTATACATACCTGTACACACATACCTGTACACACATACACATACAGATACAACATGCTCTACATGGTAGCCACCATCACCTACCTGTACACACACATACCTGTACACACACATACCTGTACACACATACCTGTACACACATACCTGTACACACATACACATACCGATACAACATGCTCTACATGGTAGCCACCATCACCTACCTACACACACATACCTGCACACACATACCTGTACACACATACCTGTACACACATACACATACCGATACAACATGCTCTACATGGTAGCCACCATCACCTACCTACACACACATACCTGCACACACATACCTGTACACACATACCTGTACACACATACACATACCTATACAACATGCTCTACATGGTAGCCACCATCACCTACCTGTACACACACATACCTGTACACACACATACCTGTACACACATACCTGTACACACATACCTGTACACACATACACATACCGATACAACATGCTCTACATGGTAGCCACCATCACCTACCTACACACACATACCTGCACACACACATTCCTGTACACACATACCTGTACATACATACACATACCGATACAACATGCTCTACATGGTAGCCACCATCACCTACCTACACACACATACCTGTACACACATACACATACCGATATAACATGCTCTACATGGTAGCAACCATCACCTACCTACACACACACACCTGTACACACATACCTGTACACACATACCTGTACACACATACACATACCGATACAACATGCTCTACATGGTAGCCACTCTCACCTACCTACACATACCTGTACATACCTGTACACACATACCTAGACATTCCTATACATACCTGTACACACATACCTGTACACACATACACATACCGATACAACATGCTCTACATGGTAGCCACCATCACCTACCTACACACACATACCTGTACACACATACCTGTACACACATACCTGTACACACATACACATACCTATACAACATGCTCTACATGGTAGCCACCATCACCTACCTACACATACCTACCTGTACACACATACCTGTGCACACATACACATACCGATACAACATGCTCTACATGGTAGCCACCATCACCTACCTACACACACATACCTGTACACACATACCTGTACACACATACACATACCGATACAACATGCACTACATGGTACCCACCATCACCTACCTACACACACATACCTGTATACACACATACCTGTACACACATACCTGTACACACATACACATACCGATACAACATGCTCTACATGGTAGCCACCATCACCTACCTGTACACACATACCTGTACACACATACTTGTACACACATACCGATACAACATGCTCTACATGGTAGCCACCATCACCTACCTACACACACCTACCTGTACACACATACCTGTACACACATACTTGTACACACATACCGATACAACATGCTCTACATGGTAGCCACCATCACCTACCTGTACACACACATACCTGTACACACATACACATACCGATACAACATGCTCTACATGGTAGCCACTCTCACCTACCTACACATACCTGTACATACCTGTACACAAATACCTAGACATTCCTATACATACCTGTACACACATACCTGTACACACATACACATACAGATACAACATGCTCTACATGGTAGCCACCATCACCTACCTGTACACACACATACCTGTACACACACATACCTGTACACACATACCTGTACACACATACCTGTACACACATACACATACCGATACAACATGCTCTACATGGTAGCCACCATCACCTACCTACACACACATACCTGCACACACATACCTGTACACACATACCTGTACACACATACACATACCTATACAACATGCTCTACATGGTAGCCACCATCACCTACCTGTACACACACATACCTGTACACACACATACCTGTACACACATACCTGTACACACATACACATACCGATACAACATGCTCTACATGGTAGCCACCATCACCTACCTACACACACATACCTGCACACACACATTCCTGTACACACATACCTGTACACACATACACATACCGATACAACATGCTCTACATGGTAGCCACCATCACCTACCTACACACACATACCTGTACACACATACACATACCGATATAACATGCTCTACATGGTAGCAACCATCACCTACCTACACACACACACCTGTACACACATACCTGTACACACATACCTGTACACACATACACATACCGATACAACATGCTCTACATGGTAGCCACTCTCACCTACCTACACATACCTGTACATACCTGTACACACATACCTAGACATTCCTATACATACCTGTACACACATACCTGTACACACATACACATACCGATACAACATGCTCTACATGGTAGCCACCATCACCTACCTACACACACATACCTGTACACACATACCTGTACACACATACCTGTACACACATACACATACCTATACAACATGCTCTACATGGTAGCCACCATCACCTACCTACACATACCTACCTGTACACACATACCTGTGCACACATACACATACCGATACAACATGCTCTACATGGTAGCCACCATCACCTACCTACACACACATACCTGTACACACATACCTGTACACACATACACATACCGATACAACATGCACTACATGGTACCCACCATCACCTACCTACACACACATACCTGTATACACACATACCTGTACACACACACACCTGTACACACATACCTGTACACACACACACCTGTACGCACATACCTGTACACACACATACCTGCATACACATACACATACCTGTACACACATACACATACCGATACAACATGCTCGACATGGTAGCCACTCTCACCTACCTACACACACATACCTGTATACACACATACCTGTACACACACATACCTGTACACACATACCTGTACACACATACACATACCTATACAACATGCTCGACATGGTAGCCACCATCACCTACCTACACACACACACCTGTACACACATACCTGTACACACATACACATACCGATGCAACATGCTCTACATGGTAGCCACTCTCACCTACCTACACATACCTACCTGTACACACATACCTGTACACACATACACATACCGATACAACATGCACTACATGGTACCCACCATCACCTACCTACACACACATACCTGTATACACACATACCTGTACACACACACCTGTACACACATACCTGTACACACATACCTGTACACACATACACATACCTATACAACATGCTCCACATGGTAGCCACCATCACCTACCTACACACACATACCTGTACACACACATACCTAGACATTCCTATACATACCTGTACACACATACCTGTACATACCTGTACACACATACCTAGACATTCCTATACATACCTGTACACACATACCTGTACACACATACCTAGACATTCCTATACACACATACACATACATACAACGTGCTTGAAATGGTACCCACTCTCACCTACCTACACATACCTGTACACACATACCTGTACACACATACCTATACACACATACCTAGACACACATACCTAGACATTCCTATACACACCTACACATAACGTGCTCGACATGGTACCCACTCTCACCTACCTGCACATACCTGCACATACCTATACAAACTTATGCAAGCATAGCTATACATACACACATTTAAACAACATGCTCTACTCACACTCACCTACAAACACATACATTCCCACACATTCCCACACATTCCCACACATTCCCACACATTCCCACACATTCCCACACATTCCCACACATACAGAGAATATTATTGCGTTATTTTATTTTATTCTCATTCTACGTGACTTTACCGAAAGAACCAAAGAAGACATACACACCTGTTCATCAAAGATCCCCCGTATAGCCTGCACAGACTGTAGGGGCAAGTGCTGTTAGCGAGCACCTATGAAGGCCGGCACGGCACACGTGGGGGTGGGTCGCCAGCACCACGCCCAACCGCCTTTGTCTCCCCCAGTGGCGATGTTTACTACACACTGCTCATTTGAGGCCGAGTCTACCTTGGGGGGAGCCCCAGGCCCGGTCCAGATAATCGTCGCCGGTGTTGGCAGTGAGCGGGAATCGAACCCGGGTCTCCGGGTTCGGAGCGCAGCGTAGCGCTAACCACTACACCACCGTAGCGCTAACCACTACACCACCGCTCCCCACTTGGACAGACACAGACAAAGATCCCCCGTATATCCTTAACAGACTTTTGGGGCAAATGCTGTTAGCGAGCACCTATGAAGGCCATTTGGACACACACACACAACAACAACCGCCATTCGCCACTAAGTGGCGGTGACGTCACCACGACGCTTGTGCCAGGCTATGTGCACCTTGAGGCCACGTGAAGTGTCGAACGCCCGCTGGCAGGAGGTCACGGGGCAGACCCAGCAGGTGCCACGGGTCGATTGACTGAGATGACTGGCTGATGCACCACCTGTGCCCCCTACTGTGCCAACTTGCTGTGATTTAGCCACCCGTCGCTCCACTCGTTGTTGCGAGCATCGCTCCTCCGCCCTCCGTTGTTGTTGGAGGGCGACTGCCTCCAACTGCCCAGTAGCGTCCTTCACGAGCCTCCTCCACAGAGGCCGATCTTGACACCGCTGGTACCAGTCATCGGCACAAGGACACACACACACGGACACGCACACGGATACACGGACACACGGACACACAAAGATCCCCCATATAGCCTTAACAGACTGTAGGGGCAAGTGCTGTTAGCGAGCACCTATGAAGGCCGGAACGGTACACGAGGGGGTGGGTGGCCAGCACCACGCCCGACCGCCTTTGTCTCCCTATTGGCGATGTTTACACACCGCACCAGGTACTCATTTGAGGCTGAGTCGACCTAGGGGAGGCCCGGGACCGGTTCAGATAATCGTCACTGGTGTTGGCCGTGAGCGGTAATCGAACCCGGGTCGCCAGGTTCACAGCGCAGCGCGCTAACCGCTACACTATCACACACACACGGACACGTGGACACACGGACACACACACACGCTCTGCCCCTCTCGCCCGCCCCACTAAATCCACTCTCCGTTGACCACCCCCCCTTACCGCACAGAGCTGGGACAAGGCGCTGGCCCTCACCGCCAAGGCGTGGGGCTCCAACTGCTGGTTCGAGCACAACGTCCACCTCCGAGACGAGGGCCGCGTCCACCCCACGTTCACCACCGTGGGCGAGAACCTTTGGGGCGGTTTCCTGAGCTCGTTCAACGCCACGGCCGCCGTGCAGGCCTGGTACGAGGAGGTGCACGACTACGACTTCCCCACCTTCACCTGCCAGCCGGGACGCGTGTGCGGACACTACACGCAGGTGAGACGCGTTGCAGGTGTGTGTGGGGGGGGGGCACTATGTGCAGGTGTAGGGAGGTGTGGGGGAGGGGCTCTACGCACAGGTGAGACGCTTGCAGGTGTGTGTGTAGGGGGCACTACGTACAGGTGAGACGCTGGCAGGTGTATGTGTAGGGGGCACTACGTACAGGTGAGACGCTGGCAGGTGTGTGTGTAGGAGGCTCTACGCACAGGTGAGACGCTGGCAGGTGTGTGTGTAGGGGGCACTACGCACAGGTGAGACGCTGGCAGGTGTGTGTGTAGGGGGCACTACGTACAGGTGAGACGCTGGCAGGTGTGTGTGTAGGGGGCTCTACGCACAGGTGAGACGCTGGCAGGTGTGTGTGTAGGGGGCACTACGTACAGGTGAGACGCTGGCAGGTGTGTGTGTAGGAGGCTCTACGCACAGGTGAGACGCTGGCAGGTGTGTGTGTAGGGGGCACTACGTACAGGTGAGACGCTGGCAGGTGTGTGTGTAGGGGGCACTATGTACAGGTGTAGGGTGTGTGGGGGCACTACACACAGGTGAGACGAGCTGCAGGTGTGTGGGGTGGGATGGGGGCACTACGCGCAGGTGAGATAGGAGCAACAACGACCCAGCTTGATATCGAGGTGTGTGTGCGTCAGTGTGTGTGTGTCGTGTGTGCGTCAGTGTGTGTGTGTGTGTGTCGTGTGTGCGTCAGTGTGTGTGTGTGTAGTGTGTGCGTCAGTGTGTGTGTCGTGTGTGCGTCAGTGTGTGTGTGTCGTGTGTGTGTCGTGTGTGCGTCAGTGTGTGCGTCAGTGTGTGTGTGTGTGTCGTGTGTGTGTCGTGTGTGTGTCGTGTGTGCGTCAGTGTGTGTGTGTGCGTCAGTGTGTGTGCGTCAGTGTGTGTGCATCAGTGTGTGTGCGTCAGTGTGTGTGCGTTAGTGTGTGCGCGGAGTTGGGACATCAGTTCGGGGTCATCGACGGATTCCATTTGCTTGGCGAGTCCGCCCCCATGCATTCAAACACGCGCACACAAAGACACAGATCCCCCGCATAGCCTCAACAGACGGTTGGGGCAAGTGCTGTCAGCGGCCGAAAAGACCCGGAGCGTTGTGTGGAGCAACGGGGCCAGGGAATCTTCCGCACGACGGGGTCACGCAACTGACCAACGGGGTAACGGAGAACCAGGGCGGCTCTAGGACGATGGTGAGGAGGGCCAGGATGGTGAGGAGGGCCAGGATGGTGAGCCAGGATGGTGAGGAGAGCCAGGATGGTGAGGAGAGCCAGGATGGTGAGGAGGGCCAGGATGGTGAGCCAGGATGGTGAGGAGAGCCAGGATGGTGAGGAGGGACAGGATGGTGAGCCAGGATGGTGAGGAGAGCCAGGATGGTGAGGAGGGACAGGATGGTGAGGAGGGACAGGATGGTGAGCCAGGATGGTGAGGAGGGCCAGGATGGTGAGGAGGGCCAGGATGGTGAGGAGAGCCAGGATGGTGAGGAGGGACAGGATGGTGAGGAGGGACAGGATGGTGAGCCAGGATGGTGAGGAGGGCCAGGATGGTGAGGAGGGACAGGATGGTGAGGAGGGACAGGATGGTGAGGAGGGCCAGGATGGTGAGGAGAGCCAGGATGGTGAGGAGGGCCAGGATGGTGAGGAGGGCCAGGATGGTGAGGAGAGCCAGGATGGTGAGGAGGGCCAGGATGGTGAGGAGGGCCAGGATGGTGAGGAGAGCCAGGATGGTGAGGAGAGCCAGGATGGTGAGGAGGGCCAGGATAGTGAGGAGGGCCAGGATGGTGAGGAGGGCCAGGATGGTGAGGAGAGCCAGGATGGTGAGGAGGGCCAGGATGGTGAGGAGAGCCAGGATGGTGAGGAGGGCCAGGATGGTGAGCCAGGATGGTGAGGAGGGCCAGGATGGTGAGGAGGGCCAGGATGGTGAGCCAGGATGGTGAGGAGGGCCAGGATGGTGAGGAGAGCCAGGATGGTGAGGAGGGCCAGGATGGTGAGCCAGGATGGTGAGGAGGGCCAGGATGGTGAGGAGGGCCAGGATGGTGAGGAGGGCCAGGATGGTGAGGAGTTCCAGGGTGATGAGGAGTTCCAGGATGGTGAGGAGAGCCAGGATGGTGAGGAGTTCCAGGATGGTGAGGAGTTCTAGGATGGTGAGGAGTTCTAGGATGGTGAGGAGAGCCAGAATGGTGAGGAGGGCCAGGATGGTGAGGAGAGTCAGGATGGTGAGGAGAGTCAGGATGGTGAGGAGGGCCAGGATGGTGAGGAGAGCCAGGATGGTGAGGAGTTCCAGGATGGTGAGGAGGGCCAGGATGGTGAGCCAGGATGGTGAGGAGAGTCAGGATGGTGAGGAGAGTCAGGATGGTGAGGAGAGCCAGGATGGTGAGGAGAGTCAGGATGGTGAGGAGAGTCAGGATGGTGAGGAGGGCCAGGATGGTGAGGAGAGCCAGGATGGTGAGGAGTTCCAGGATGGTGAGGAGAGCCAGGATGGTGAGGAGGGCCAGGATGGTGAGGAGTTCCAGGATGGTGAGGAGTTCCAGGGTGATGAGGAGTTCCAGGATGGTGAGGAGAGCCAGGATGGTGAGGAGAGTCAGGATGGTGAGGAGTTCCAGGATGGTGAGGAGTTCTAGGATGGTGAGGAGGGCCAGGATGGTGAGGAGGGCCAGGATGGTGAGGAATTCCAGGATGGTGAGGAGTTCCAGGATGGTGAGGAGTTCCAGGATGGTGAGGAGAGCCAGGATGGTGAGGAGGGCCAGGATGGTGAGGAGTTCCAGGATGGTGAGGAGTTCTAGGATGGTGAGAAGAGCCAGAATGGTGAGGAGGGCCAGGATGGTGAGGAGAGTCAGGATGGTGAGGAGGGCCAGGATGGTGAGCCAGGATGGTGAGGAGAGCCAGGATGGTGAGGAGGGCCAGGATGGTGAGGAGGGTCAGGATGGTGAGGAGAGCCAGGATGGTGAGGAGTTCTAGGATGGTGAGAAGAGCCAGAATGGTGAGGAGGGCCAGGATGGTGAGGAGAGCCAGGATGGTGAGGAGGGCCAGGATGGTGAGGAGAGCCTGGATGGTGAGGAGAGCCTGGATGGTGAGGAGGGCCAGGATGGTGAGGAGAGTCAGGATGGTGAGGAGGGCCAGGATGGTGAGGAGAGCCAGGATGGTGAGGAGGGCCAGGATGGTGAGCCAGGATGGTGAGGAGGGCCAGGATGGTGAGGAGGGCCAGGATGGTGAGGAGGGCCAGGATGGTGAGGAGGGCCAGGATGGTGAGGAGGGCCAGGATGGTGAGGAGTTCCAGAATGGTGAGGAGTTCTAGGATGGTGAGGAGAGCCAGAATGGTGAGGAGGGCCAGGATGGTGAGGAGAGTCAGGATGGTGAGGAGGGCCAGGATGGTGAGGAGAGCCAGGATGGTGAGGAGTTCCAGGATGGTGAGGAGGGCCAGGATGGTGAGGAGGGCCAGGATGGTGAGGAGAGCCAGGATGGTGAGGAGGGCCAGGATGGTGAGGAGAGCCAGGATGGTGAGGAGAGCCAGGATGGTGAGGTGAGCCAGGATGGTGAGGAGTTCCAGAATGGTGAGGAGTTCTAGGATGGTGAGGAGAGCCAGAATGGTGAGGAGTTCCAGGATGGTGAGGAGAGCCAGGATGGTGAGGAGGGCCAGGATGGTGAGGAGAGCCAGGGTGATGAGGAGTTCCAGGATGGTGAGGAGAGCCAGGATGGTGAGGAGAGTCAGGATGGTGAGGAGTTCCAGGATGGTGAGGAGTTCTAGGATGGTGAGGAGGGCCAGGATGGTGAGGAGGTCCAGGATGGTGAGGAATTCCAGGATGGTGAGGAGTTCCAGGATGGTGAGGAGTTCCAGGATGGTGAGGAGAGCCAGGATGGTGAGGAGTTCCAGGATGGTGAGGAGTTCCAGGATGGTGAGGAGAGCCAGGATGGTGAGGAGGGCCAGGATGGTGAGGAGAGTCAGGATGGTGAGGAGGGCCAGGATGGTGAGCCAGGATGGTGAGGAGAGCCAGGATGGTGAGGAGGGCCAGGATGGTGAGGAGGGTCAGGATGGTGAGGAGGGCCAGGATGGTGAGGAGAGCCTGGATGGTGAGGAGAGCCTGGATGGTGAGGAGGGCCAGGATGGTGAGGAGAGTCAGGATGGTGAGGAGGGCCAGGATGGTGAGGAGAGCCAGGATGGTGAGGAGGGCCAGGATGGTGAGCCAGGATGGTGAGGAGGGCCAGGATGGTGAGGAGGGCCAGGATGGTGAGGAGGGCCAGGATGGTGAGGAGGGCCAGGATGGTGAGGAGGGCCAGGATGGTGAGGAGGGCCAGGATGGTGAGGAGTTCCAGAATGGTGAGGAGTTCTAGGATGGTGAGGAGAGCCAGAATGGTGAGGAGGGCCAGGATGGTGAGGAGAGTCAGGATGGTGAGGAGGGCCAGGATGGTGAGGAGAGCCAGGATGGTGAGGAGTTCCAGGATGGTGAGGAGGGCCAGGATGGTGAGGAGGGCCAGGATGGTGAGGAGAGCCAGGATGGTGAGGAGGGCCAGGATGGTGAGGAGAGCCAGGATGGTGAGGAGAGCCAGGATGGTGAGGAGAGCCAGGATGGTGAGGAGTTCCAGAATGGTGAGGAGTTCTAGGATGGTGAGGAGAGCCAGAATGGTGAGGAGTTCCAGGATGGTGAGGAGAGCCAGGATGGTGAGGAGGGCCAGGATGGTGAGGAGAGCCAGGATGGTGAGGAGTTCCAGGATGGTGAGGAGTTCCAGGATGGTGAGGAGAGCCAGGATGGTGAGGAGGGCCAGGATGGTGAGGAGGGCCAGGATGGTGAGGAGGGCCAGGATGGTGAGGAGTTCTAGGATGGTGAGGAGGGCCAGGATGGTGAGGAGGGCCAGGATGGTGAGGAGGGCCAGGATGGTGAGGAGGGCCAGGATGGTGAGGAGGGCCAGGATGGTGAGGAGGGCCAGGATGGTGAGGAGAGCCAGGATGGTGAGGAGTTCTAGGATGGTGAGGAGGGCCAGGATGGTGAGGAGGGCCAGGATGGTGAGGAG